ACCTTTTGGTATGATATATTTGACAAACAAACTGAATACTTGACGATGATAGAGTAGTTGGATTCATTTCAGAATCTAAGTTTGAAATGCCTTTGAGTTCCATTAAAGCTTACACTTACCAAATACTTTATAACAATACCAGATGTGAGGGAGTGAGAGTGAAGGATCGGAAGGGAAGGTTAAATCTTGCATTCCTAGGAGGAGCAGTGTTTATTTTACACTGCACAAATGTGACTGCCACTAAAGTGGCTATGTGATTTCCTGTTGACTCTGAGCATGAAAAACAACTTTGCACTATTGTGATAAAAGGGGATAGGACTTCATTGTAACAGGTACTGATTGTACAGGGGAGGCAGTATGGGGAGATCCTGTTCCACATAGCTAACAGCCTGAACACATTAACTAGACAAGAGCTATTATGCATCTTTTACAGAAGGGAATCACAGCCTTTCCACCTACAGAACTTCTTCATCTAGATTTCAGGCCCTGTCACTTTTGTTTTAGACTGGTTTGATAGCTACACGTGTAGACAGTGAATAGCCTGATCATGTCAGTGACTTGGAAATATCCACAAAGCAATGGTCTGGTTTCCTGTCTCTGTTAACTGAGACGAAGTTACTGGAGCTGGCTGAAAATGATTTGCTCATGGTTGCAGAGAATCCATGGCAGAACTAGAAACCAAAGTCAGAGCTTTAGTGTTCCCACCCAACATCTTGTGTGGGAAACATCCTCCCTGTCCATGCTGTTGTCTTATTACACTGATATTGACTCACTGAACAACAGAGAGCCCATTGAGACTTCACATGATGCAAAGCACAGTGTCATTTCCACCCAAGATAACAGAACCAGAGCAATGGAATATAAGTGAATGAGTGAGTAGGAGGCTGTGTCCTTGATGAACACATTGTTTCAATAAGAGCACACTGCTCTGAAATCTAAACCATCTGCATTTAACAGTTATCTTGCAAGGTCTTTGGTGTAAAGGCTGTTCACGATGCATTGCTCAGTGGTGCAATGTCTAGGGCTCTTGGGAGCTTTTCCAGTGCAAATAAGTTTGGGCCATGTGCTAAAACTTAAATGGAAATATCAGTGTGGGAAAAATGATGAGCATTTCTAGTAGGCTAGAACATATAAAATATGTTCCAAAAAAATTGATTTTGTGTAGTAAATATAAAAAAGATCTTCACCTATTTAGATAAAAACAGTTTATAGTAATTCTTGCCCACTTTTTAAACAAGTCTACTTTCTAGGCAAACCTTGAGAAAGTAAAAATTGAGTGGAAGAGAATATACATTATCTTTTTGCCAGATTTAATTCTAGGCATCATAGTATCAGAGACTTGCTGATAATTTCTTTCTATTCTACTCTTACTATGCAAGTTCCAGAACTATTATTTTGATATTTATATGTGCATAGATAATTGCACTTTAAAATTTTATTTCAGAATATAAATGTCTGTTGGCATTAACCTCAGCCATACATTATCTTCATGGAAGAAGGTACTACCAAAAGAAGATTGCATGCAGTTTTTGATCCAGAACACAGATGTAATGCTCTTACTGCTGGTCTCTACTAACCTGCCATGCTGACATATTTGGTCATCAATAAACAGAAACTGAAGCATAGATATATATACTTCAGATTTTTTGTTTAAATCTTTGAGATTTGTGAGTGTGATTCTCTTTGAGGGGAATAAAGTTACTGAAGATAAAGTCTGCATCCATATTTTCTGAAATTCTTCTCTATTCTGTTCTCTATTAGAGAATCTGATCATCTAATTATGAAAAATTGTTTTATGTTTACGCACATTTTCCTTTCAGGAAGGGTGGAATCAGTCCTTCTCTTTTATTCCCTCTCTGATGAGAGATAATGACCTAACTTTTCTTTCTGGACGTGAGCAAGATCTGCTCTCTGTAAATGCTTCTGCAAGGGCTAAAATATTACAATATCATTTAGATATCAATGACATTAGGTCATTGAGAAAGACAAGTTTCTGACAAGGATTTACTTTTCATTAAAAAGATTTTATGAGCTACTGTAGAAAAATCTTGATCCCAGACAGTGTATTTTATGTATAAAATCCTCCTTTATGAGAACTAGTTGATGACCTCTTTGACCTCAAAGTTGTCCTCAGATTGAAGGAACTTTAGGCAGGATTGCTTTTCCATGCAGGTTGGTAAATGGTTCCTATAATCAGCATTAGCTCATGAGATCTTTAGAGAATAGAAGATTACTCTTTCTGTCACTGTAATTGATTATTTTCTAGCTTCAGACATTATTTTTCTTTTGCTTTTCTCACATAGGTCTACTGGTAGTGCAGTAAGTCTTGGCAATTAGGAAAAACAGGCAGTTATTCTTATACTGCTTTTACCTGGTACACCTGAAGTCATTAGGCCAATGGAAGAGTATTCACACACTACGGTACAACACAATTTGGTTTTATATACTCTGAAAATTCAGAAACTAACTCCAATGAGCTTGCATTCAAAACGGCATAAACCAGATGACATATTGTCACAGAATATCCACTTTCCCATTGCTTTCTGGAAGAAGCTCTCTCTCCTTTTTAAGGACCAGGCACAGCATATGACTTTGACTTCCCAACAGGATAGTGACAAGCTTCAAAAATTTAATTTGCCCTCTGGAGAGAGAAGAGGCTTTCCACCTTATCTTCTATTTATGTCCAATATGGTTCTAAGGTCTTTTCAGTTACCAATAACCTGGCATTTTATAGATGGGCTCATAAGAAATGCAGTCATCTCACTTGTTTTATCACCACTAAGATACAATGCAAAGAAACCAAAATACACTAGGAAGCTACTGAAGATCTCGCCAAGCTCTAACACCTGCAGTACTCATTGCATGCAGCCTCTTTGTGTGAATGTTATTCTCTGAGACCAGCATGTCTTCAGAGCAGCCTGTAAAATGGCTTCACATATTGCCAGTACCATATTACAATCTAGTATAATTAAACTGTATTTATGTGGGCACAAACCATTCTTTCTGCTTGCTCGACTTTTTCTCTCCATGCCTTTCCATGCATCCATTCGATTCATAATTTATACAGTTCATCCCTCCTTGCTGAGCAAATCAGATCCTAACGTGAGTGACATCTAATCATATTTGCTATTTAGTTTCCAGTACCTGCTATAGCCTTCAAGGGAAATATAATACTGTCTTATTAAACCTTATCATGCAATTTTAATAACCACTTTTTTTTTTCTTTGCTAGAAGAGAAACAGGAAGATAAGACCCTTGCTGTGTTTAAATCAGTGTTTTAGTGACCACAAAAGACACTATCTGTACAACAATCACTAATTAGCTCGCATATCTCACTCCATACAAGAGAAAGCAGCTGTACATGATAAATGGGAACTGTATAACTGCTTAACAATAAATTCTGAATAGAATCTGCAGAGATACATCTAGAATTTCTGGCAATTCAGGACCCTTAAGCTATGTGATCAACATCACCCAAAATAGGTGATATAGAATTATGCAAGTGCGTTCACTGATTACAAAGTCTTTTGCTAACTTTCAGTATCATTGTAATTCTTTTAAAAATGCACCAGAAATTATATGGCATAGAATCATCAAGGTTGGAAAAGACCTGTTAGATCACCCAGTCCAAACATGAATCAATCACCACTGTGCTCACTAACCATGTCCCTCAAGGAGTAGCACTGCTACCTCATTTTGCTAGAAGTCAAGAAGTACATGATCAAAAGGTTCCCATTCAGATTAAATCAGAAGGGGGGGAAGTTCATCCTCTGAGGTCATTTTCTTGTCTCCTACTGATTCTGCTTATAGCCCTACCACTTCTTCCCCAAAGCAGGAGCTGGATGTAATATAGCTGAGATCAGTGAGAGTAGAAAGAGTCAGTGCTGTTTTCTGTGAGCCTTCCCACAACTGAGTCACTGCTGGGAAATATTTCAAAGCTTCCTTGATTCTAAAAGTCAAGTGCTCTTCAGTACTAGGGTGACTCTTGTCTTTTCCTTATATTTTGAAGAAGTTTTTAGGGAAACCTTAAAATCCATAGAACTGTGTTAATAAGTATCACTTATGTGTGTTGGTGAATCACTATGTTGTAGACTGACTATGGCAACTTGCTTGGGTATGGAGGAGGTGACAATAGTTCTTGTACACGTCCTGAAGTCATCACACCTTCCCTTTCAGCTTGTTCCTAAGATATTCCTGGATTCAGCTGTATGCCCTGATGTGCTGCCACTACTTTACCTTGTACCTCAATATACAGGTACTGTTCCACCTTCTCAAGAACTAATGAGTTCAGCTTTAAAGGAATTTCATTATCATGAACCAAAATTGGGGGAAATGGTGAAGTATACTTAGGGAGCTACACATAATTTATAATTTTCACTTTCATGCTCTGCCTTAAAGGATAAGCTTCCTTTTGAGATTCAGAATACAAACTGGTTTTTGGAAATGTGAGGACATTTCAGCTAAAACATGTATTTTTCGAATATTTATGAATCAAGATATCCCAGTGATGAAATCTTATGAGATAGTGCATAACCTCATGAAGCAATTTGCTTCTTTAGAAATAGTGATTGCAGTATTTTCTGAATGTTATATTACTCAGTGATTCATCAAACAATCTGTAAAACAATCAATTTAAAGTGGTGAACTTTCATTTTTTGGAATGCTTGCTCATTTTAGAAGTTATAAAAATCCATAATTATCCAAGCAAAACCCATGGGAAGTCTTGTGCCTTAGCCTGAGATTTTATCACACTCAGGGCTTAGCAGTTCATGTTTCCCAAAGACCAGATAAAGTTGCAACCACAACACAGCCTTTGTGCCTGTAAAAACACAACCTTGTGTCTGTAAATCAATGTTTCTTCTCTGGGAAAGTGAGGAAAAACTGGGTGCCAGAAATCAAAATACAACATATGACAAAGACCAGGAAGTAATAACACAAGCCAGAACAGTAAAGAACAGAGGAAGGATTATGCTGGCCATGAGCAGAAGGTCTACACTTACCTCTTTTATCAGATTCATAAATCTGGGTCCAAAACGCCACGGCTTGTGTCTGTGACACTGCAGGGAGCTGACAGTCATTTGAGAGGCACGCTGGGAGGCCACTGCTACCATGTAAACTGCGTCGTACATCAGAGCTGCCTCAGTCTACATGAAAAAAAACATAACACAGAAGGGCTTTTTTTAAATATACCTCCTTTTACCTGGCTTCAATACTGAGAAGCAATACCCTAGGCTGGTGATAAGGAAGAATCCACTGCTTCCTTCCTGGTCTCTCCTTGGAAGCCTGTTGCTAATGCTGATGGATTTGTTTGGTTTTGCTTTGCTTTCAATGTAAATTACTTTTTCATATTATTTTCAGAAGGACACTGGGAAGAAAATGCAGGAAGGAGTTTGCTTGCAACAGCATGATATGGAGAGGAGTGTTAATGAGCCACTAGTTGTGCAGCAACACAGATCCTGTCTTTCCAGGGAAATCAGTCCCACTGACACCAGATAAGTATCTTAAAGGTATTTGCTGTTTCTAAGTATCTGACTGCCTTCAGGTATCTTGGCTGTTGACACTAATGGGTACAATGGCTCCACTGAGCTCCGGCTATGGCAATTCCCCTGCCGTACTCCCATGCCACCTTAGAGAAAGGTGACTTGTCTTTTTGAGGTACCTTAGTGATAAAGGTGAATTTCTACATCTAAGTTCTAGTTGTCTAAGATAGTCATTACCTCTATGACGCTGAAATCTCACTAAAATTGCTGGATGCTTGTTGTGCATCGTTATTTCTTCTGAGAATTGACTTATTGGTTTAAAACCATATCCAGTAAGCCCCAGACTGATATTGCACAGTCTATAAATCTTTACCAGAGGTTTTTTTTTAAGAAAAATCTTCTCCCACATTGTACTTTGTTGATTTGGTGCTTGAGATAGGACTGTCTGTGTTTCCCGTAACACATAGGATTGTGGTAAAAATGAATTACTAATAGTTCTTCAAAAGCTATTGAATAATTAAGAAAGGGCCTTTAAAAAGGCAGATGAGAAAAGCTGGACATGTTTGTATGAACTGCAAAGTCACACCATTTTTTATTCCTTTCCTGTGCTACTCCCTTGGGAAATTAATAGATTTGATTCTTTGTTTCATTTACCTAAGTACATTACAACAGCATCATTCTTACCAGTATTTGATTTCCAGCAAAAAACTCCATTGTGATCTGAATTTATCAACTAATCTTAATGTACTGCAGATGAGGAATTGCTCTTGACACACTAGTCAGGATCTGAACAAAACAATGCTCTCACAACTCAAGCAAATTGAAAATGTTATAAGTGGCAAGGCAAGCAGGAATAGACAACAACATCTGTTCTTAGTGTCAAGAGTCTTAAAACAAATACTTGTTCCAAACAGACCCACTGACTAAAGGCCTGATCCCAAACCCCTCCAATTCAGTGGAAAGATTCACATTAATCTCAAGTCAATGGGCTTGAGTACAGCTCTTTTTATTAGACCAGAGACATGTGCATTCAGGATTGAATTTTTGATTGGTGCTGATGTCCCTGTTGGTCTATGTCCAAGGCTTAGAGGCTCTAGAAGTACTTAGTGAAAATGTTTCAGTGCACACCTTGCTTTGCATTCCTAGTTGGGACCACCAAAGTTGTTACTTAACATGATGCTTCCCACGTGTTAAGTATGTTGGGCAGTACTGCCCAACCTGGCAGTTTGGATCTTGTGTTTGTGCAACTTACTACTCATCCATCCCACCTTGCAGCAACTGGGAGGTTACACTGCCTCTTCTTGTCATTTGTTTCTCTTTGTCCTTGTTATGTTTTAGCGCTTGGGGTAGCATTGAGAAACAAAGAGTCACTTCATTTTCCTAAGAAAAGTGCCTAAATGTTGATACCTGTTCTTATGCATGAGAAGAAGAGGTCCAAGAACTAGTCTTGGAATTTGTCTTTCTGATTTTGATTCTGTTTAAATTATTGCAAAGAAACTCAAAGATCTACTTAGAACAAATACATCTCTGTGTGCAATTTGTGCATAAAATGGGATGTGAGCTCAAAACTGCCTTGGTTATGCTCTGCTCATCTCCCACAATCTGTGATCAGGGCAAAAATTACAGCATGAAAGGATAAATCCTGAATTAACAATAGGATATATAATCCTCATCTCCTTGTAATGTGCAGCTTGTCATAGCCTTGTTGTCTAATGAAACATAGCAGTACTGCAGCTCTCTATCAAACTGAATAAGCAGAACTTATTATGAATACTTAAACACTCAGAGATAACTAGGAAGATGCTTTTCCTGGTGTTCATGCTGTTTCAGAGTATCAAGGACACTAAGATATTAGAGAGATGAAAAGGAGGGGATGAGAGTTTAGTAAAGACTTAGGTTTTCCTAAAATCCTAGTTTTTCTCCTGCTTCTGGGAACACAGTTACACTGCAGAAACAAGATATATAATGAATTTCTCTTCAGGGGTTAGAATGCTTCAGAATTTCCCCTGCAATCATCTGCAATAAAGCCTACTTTGTATCACCTCTACCACCTCTATCCAATACAAGACATATTTACACCGCAAAAAAATGGCAGCCCTCTACCCTGCAAAACTGAATGGAGTCATATGGTCTGTCTGATTGCTCCTATTCTTTCCTTTCGTTCTTAAGGAAGTGGTAGGGGAAAAAAAATCCTAATTTCCTGACTTGATGATACCTTTCATTTATCTTTAAATTATATCTTAAAAGCCAGAGTTGCTGTAGATAATAGAAATGAAGGGAAAGTGTTCTTTTCCAATTTAGAAATGCTATTACCTGTCCACATGTACAATATCTTTCCCCGCAGGTCATAAATCCTATACCTGCTCTGAAAGTTTTTATTTCCTGTTATGTTTTTCACTCCATCCAGAACATTAATGGAGAAATGAGACAGTAATATATACATTTGACAACAAAAAGATGGATGGTGTAGGCTGGATGGTAGCATGACAGAGAGCTGTTACTCTTCCCCAGAGCGTGCTATAGATGCCTTTGCATCGTTGCAGTTGCTCACTTACCGTCATCATGCCATCAAGGAGGCCAGTCTCTGGTTTTGGTGGTGCCTGCAGACGCTCCATTGACCATTTCTCAATGACTGATGAGACCTGAGGATTCTCGATGTTGAGCAGGCGAAAGCCTGTCATATTGACTCCGCTGTATCTGTAAGGTTCCAGGTCCAATGCAAATAGATCCTAAATCAACATTAAGAAAATGATCAAAATCAGATGTAGCATTCTTAAAGCAAAATATCCAGAAGATACAGTTAGACAAGAATTGTATTTGATTTTTAATCCAAAGCTCTTGTTCTGCTTTTTTTAACCCCTGAGAACTCTGCTTGCCCTCAAAACTTATCCACAGCCATTTCAGTTGTAAATCTGAATAAACAAAGGTTGCCTGAAGTTTATGACAAACTACATATCTGCTTTTTGGATTATTTAAATAAGGTCCCCACAACGTTATTTTGCAACCAAACCACAGCAACAGTATCTAACTTTAGCCCTCTAACAGTGCTACAGTGCTGACAAACCAACATGAAGAATTAGTTGGTCAATGTTGAGTTTATTTCTGAACTCTGGGAAGGAAAACTCCAAGAGGTATCAAGAGCAATACACTTTTTCTGCTTATGAACCCCATTTTTCTTCTGTCTTGCCTGCTTCAATGACTTGCTGCCAGCTTGCCTAATGGCCACGTTGGGCTAGTGCACAGTAACTACATGCACTGCAGTGCTCATTGTTTACAGGGAAGGGAAATAATGGACATTCTAAATGGCATAACTGTGTGGCAAACACCACAGCTAGTTTTATCAAGCAGTGGTAAGATGATAATTGTTTTTCAAAGCCTGAAGGCTTTTTTTTTTTTCTTTTTTTTTTTTTCCCAAAAATCCTATTTGCTGATCCCGGAAAGCTGGTAAAATGACAAGTACATGGATTTTAATACAACAGTAGCTGTGAAAATGTCAACATTTATACCACAACACCTAGATACCACCAACAGTGTTTACTGCTTTTTTTTTTTTTTTTTTAATGTACTTAATGCTTTGTACTATCCCATGCATATTGTTTTACTTGGTTACTATTCTTATGGCAGATTCACACAGTTAGAGTCTTTTTTGACCAATGAATTGACTCTTGGATTCAGAATGAATTTTCACTTCCACATGAAATTTTATATGGAAAGGGAATAAAGAATATGCTGATGCACAGAACTGACACAATCCAACTTTCTAGGATTGTTCTAGCAATACTGGCACTTGTTTGCCTTCCTACAAAGCAAGTCTACAATGCAAATAGATCTTTAGCATCGACTCAGTTGTATGTGGTATGCATATTAAAATATAGGAATTGTCTTGAAACAAGTAATTAAAATTTGAACTATAAAAGAAAATGTAGCATTTTTCTTTTATTATCAAACAACCCAAGAGAAATTTAGAAATACGTGATTTTCTTTTTTGTGATATTTTTGTGATAATTAGATAATTAATAGGAATTCATCAATAATTCCTAGTCTGATACTTGCTAAAACAAAACACACATATTCACCTCTGAATTACTCTCTTTTTTATAACACTGTACACCAAAAAAACAGCTTGGAGCAACAGGGTCAGTGCAGTTGAACTTGGTGGTCTTCAGCTAGCTAAAAATTAGGTGCTGCTTTTTAAGCTAAGTGGGGACAGACTGAAGAGTAAGCTCACACACTGTGCTGGAAGAAGGCTTGGTTTCAGCTTTGTTGCAAAGCCATCCATTCATTATTTCATACTTTATTCAAAGCCATTCATTAATTATTTTTTACTCTGATCTATCCGTACCAATGACTGCACCCTATATGTGATATCAAAGTTGATTTCCATTGTGTTATGGTGTTGGTTAGCCCGACTGATACTGCAAAACTTGTGACTCTTGATACAGTAAAGACTTAGTACTCATTTTCCAGGAAATTCCTTGAGTAATTGCAACACAAATCACAGAGGGGAATGGAAACTTTCTAGCTGACTTTTTTTGCAATGGAAAAAAAATCATGCCCAGATCTTCAGTGTTTCTTACCAGTGTTGTAAAAAAATAGTGGTAGTATTCAGTCATCATTCCCATGGAGAGAATCTGTGGAAAGAGATTAAAAGTAGAATATATTTTACATTGGACGCTTTCAGTATAATAAAAAGCATGGGTTAATCTGGAACGATAGCATGTGAAATTCTTTAGTTTGCAGTTTAGAAATTCTAAAAGGAATTTTATTTGCAGACAGTTTATAGCAGTGGGGCCAGATGCAAACCTCTGGAGGGATGTGGTTTTCCTTCAGCCCCTGTCCAAAAACTGCTGAAAATGCTTACATAAGGCAACCCCCACTGTGTGTTATGGGATGCTCTGCGGTTCCAATCTGGCATCACCTACACTTATTGCCACATGCATGCACACTGTTAATGTGATGCAAACATATTGCCCTCTTTGAGACTGTGTGAAGTGGAGGAAAAGCTGTGAGGTGGAAAACCAGTGGAAAATTCATAATCACAACAGAAATACAGGGAAAGGTGAAATGTTATTCAATCTGGATCACAGTAAAGTAAGCATGAGCTATTAATAGTAGTTTAGAATGCTTTGGCAGTGTCTGGATAGTTACTTGAAAGACAGGGGAAAATGGTCTGATCTGGCTTGCCAAAATTATTTTGTAGTAGAAGCCTGTTTGATTGTGTATGGAAATTCCTCATATAAAGAAAGGGAAGAACCTAAACTTTCTAAGCTGCAGAAGACAATAAAAACAGCTCAGTGTTAATCACAAACAACCAATCCATTTCCAGCCACTAAAAATCAAGCCAGAAGGCAAGTATTTTACTGAAACACTCCATTGAATTTACATGTCAAAATTGCCTTTTTTATTTCTTATTTTATTAACCCTCTTGTATTGCTTTTCTTAGAGTTGTTTTATTACCTGGAAAAGTCAGCAGCCTAGCAACCCTGGAGACAGATGTTCCTTCCCTTTTTATGCACATAAAAGTATATATGGTGATATCACTGAAGACCTCTGCATGCTGTGTTTCCCAGCTGATTTGTAGAATCAGAGAATGGCTTAGATTGGAAGGGTCCTTAAAGATCACTGAGCTCCAGTCCCTTGCTGTTGGCAGAGACATGGCTGGACTGAATTCTGTCCCCTGAACCAGCTCTGCTTCTGTGACTGTCGTCTCTGCTACTGAGGGAGGTGCCAGGCAGGACTTCTGTGATACGGGTTTCTTTTTAGTTGGAAGTGTACTGATATAATCCAAGGTTTTCACATGAGACACTTCTAGGTAATAATGATTCAAAGTTGGCTTGAACACAGGTACGCCTCTGGATGCCTAGATTTACTTGGTCCTGAATCTCACAGTTAGTTTATGGTGCTACATAATTATGACAATAAGATTATACCAATAAATGCAGAGGACAGTTACAAATACCCAGATTTAAATTGTCTATTCATTAAAGTTTTAATTCTTAGCTTGATATATAAAGTCTGATATTGCATTTCTGTAATGGAAGTTATACACTCCAATCTTCCTGTATAGAAACAGTAAGATGACAGAGGATCAGGACAACGCTAAGCTATATAACATCTTTAAATACAACTTCAACTAGAAAAATATATTAGCTTGAATGATTACCAAGTGTATAGTCTGGGTGTTTGGGAAGAATTATTTAGTTTGTGCAGCTGCAGATACACAGCTCGTGGGTATACAGTTAGTTAATCCAGATTAGCCCAATTATTATTTTCTTCACACATCCAAAGGCCTGCAAGACAGGTGTGTTTGCCTCCTGAACACATTTTAGATTAAAACTTTTTTTTAAATACTGATTCCCAAATAAAGTACTATAAACTGAGGGGGCAGAGCACATGCCTGTGAATAATAATGATTTCAAAAGTCATACTACAGAACTACATCTGACAACAAAGCAGAACCCGTGGCAAACAAGGACAGTTACATGTAAAAAATGGGATTCGACCAACAGTGTTATCTGTCGTACATGAGACACAGGTTCACAATGGAGGTGTTCAAGAGCCATGTGGATGTAGTACTGAGAGACATGGTTAGAGATATGGGTGACAATTGGACAAGGTGATCTTAGTGATCATTTCCAACTTTGATGATTCTATAATGGCCAGCAGTGGAAGAGTGACCTGGATTTGGCAATGACCTGGCTTCAAGGGTGCCATGAGAGTGGCTTGCTGAAGTTCTTTCAAGGAAAGTATTGCAGCCTCCCAGGAAAGCTCAACTGATGTGTCGCTTTTATAATTTCTCTATTAGCAATGACTCAATTAAGATGTGAAGATACAGATAGCTGGAAGGGAGCTTGTAAGCGGCACACAGACAGCAATAATGTCCTTTTCTTTTTGAGAAATAATTGTTGATGCTTGATCTGTCTCAGGTTGGGCCCTGATCTGTTGCTGAGCTCTCTTACATAGCACTGATCACAAGAACAGACTGCACCAGTTGTCCCTTCCCACCCCTCAACACTCATTAGCAATGATAACTAATTAACAGGTACATAACCCTTAGACTTTGTTGTGATTTGTGAATTAGATTTGTAGATTGACCCAAATAAGGTGCTTTTTATTCACAGTTCTGAGAGACTTTGCAATAATAACATTTATTTCTCTTTTAGGGTAAGATAATGGCTAAGTATAATTCCCAGTGAATGGCCAGATTAGATGACCATACTGAGAGTTCACTCTGAAGGATGGTATTAGGAAAACAGGAAATGAAGGCAAGTATAAGAAACAGCAGGAAGGATGTTAGTTGCCATGCTGAGGACCCCAAAGCATCACCTTAATGATTTGAACGCTCCTATTAGTGTAATTAGAAGAGTTGCACTTGTGTGCTCCCAGCAGCAAGGGCTCATTTTCTGCTGCAACACAGCAGATATGGGGACAGCAGCTTTCAGGAACTACTGTGAGACAGACAATAAGAAAAGTATGATGGGAGCAAAGATCCCTTTCAGATTGAGACAACTCTGAAGAACCTGGCACAGCAGCTGCACAGGCTCTTCCCATTGAGCCTCCCCGGTACAGAAAATGAGCGGAACAGCCCAGAAGAGGGACAGGAAATCAGTAAGTTTTGCCTATATGTATACAGCTGTCCATAAGAAATTAGAACTAGATTTGATTGCATTCTCCTATTTAAATAATTTGCATGCAATTACATAAATAATTATGCATCTATTTAAATAGTCTTATATAAATAATAGCAGCTTTTACTTACTGTGGAACTTAGATGAATGTAAACTAGCAAAATCATGATAAAATGCTCTGCATCCTCCTTGCAGGTCTCCTTCCCCCGGAGACCTATATAAAATCTGTTCTTCATCCAAACCCAGATATAGGTTATTGTGGCAAATACAATAGACTTCTGTCTCCAATTATCCATTTCAAATCAAAGTTTTGCGCTTATGTTTAGTAAACCTGTAGTTTTAGCTGTGGTTTATGAAATGCAATGTGAATTTGAACAAGTATCAATGGTCAAAGTACGTAAGTGGACAGACACTGGATCAAAAATATCAGCTGCGGTTTGGATGGGACCAGGCTATCTTTGGGCATTGCCCAAAGATAGAACAAGGGGCAATGGGTGCAAAGTGGAACACAGAAGGTTCTATCTGAACATGAGGAAAAAATTATTTACTGTGAGGGTGACAGAGCACTGGAACAGGCTGCCCAGAGGGGTGGTGGAGTCTCCTTCTCTGGAGATATTCAAGACTCACTTGGACACTTTCCTGCATAACCTGCTGTAGGGAACCTGCTTTAGCAGAGGCATTGATGTTGGACTTATGGTCTCCAGAGGCTCCTATAACTCTATGATTCCATGATCTCTGGATTCCTTGTTCTTGGCTTGCATTGTATCTCAGCTCTAACTTGATTATTTATCTTGTTAAAAAAAAAAAAAAACAACAGCATAATTATTTAATTAGTTCCTCATGTAGAGCTGGTCTTAATCTTGGAGGCAGGCTGGAATCAGATTGATGGTGAAGAGTATTAGTGGGAACTGCATCAGACACATTACTTGTTTTCACTTTGCATTTTTTCTCACTCGTGCTATTATTCAATTTCATGAATATGAAATGAATGTGTTTCATTATCTAATTAATTAGCACCACCACTGTTTTCTAGGATAAGCAATATATGCCATAATGAATAAAAGACCCTGTACCTCATGGCCTCTTAATTGCTTAGCATAAAAGGCTTAAATTGTCCTTGCAGTGCTTCCCTGGAGTTAGTGGGGGTAGCTTTAAACTGGACATGACAGCTCACTGGAAACCTTCCATGTAACCTGTGTCCCACTCAGTCACAGCAGTGATCCAGCTTGAAATGGTATAAAGTTTCTTCAACATGAGCATGAGGCCCATCAGGATTTCTCAGGAAAGCACAGCTATGGTGTGAGAGAGAGGAGAACCGGTGAGATGAGATTGCTTCTCACCCTGTGGCATGGGGACATCTGGAAGGATTTGCTACAGGTGTTCCTCTAGCAGCAGTGAGAACACAGCTTATGTTGCCTTTTCTCAGGAGATTGCCATTTTCACCTTTCCTGCCTGCCTACTGGAAGGATCACATTCCAGAACTGAGTTTTATGTTCTCTATATTATCAAATTTATTACCATACTTAGAATGCATTCTACAGAGACACTTATTTTTTGTACTCTTGTATGAACCAAATTAGTTATTTTGCTCTTTGTCTGTCACATGGTGAAAGCACACATGGAAGTCTTTATAAAATGATTTATCAGTGTCCAAAGCCTGATCAAATATGCTTTACATTTCATGAAATTATTTTAAACTGTGGAGGAAGAAGTAGATAATTTTAGGCTAGTAGCAATGTAATTTAAGAGAGATGAGTTTGCCTAGCAGGAATATCTATGCCAAGTATTGGTGTATTAGAAGAGTAAATTGAAGGTTAATAATAACAACTTAACCTCTTGAACTGAGTTTCTCATATAAAAAGGCAAAATCATACAAAATATAGTAAATGCAGTAGTAAGTAGTAAGAACATTTTGGAAGACATGCATATAAAGCAGAATGCTATTTGCAAAAGCTAGATTTAACTGACTTGTGCAGTTACTTCCTAGTCTAGAGAGGAAGTAAATCCATGAAATATTTCAAGTAAGTGTTGCAAGCACCAAGTTTTTTCCTAAGAAAGTGATTCTAAATTCCTCATGTAAGTACTCAATTCTGTTTATTTCAGACATTTTTGGAAGGGTGCCCTATTATCTAAGACTCTCTCAGGGTTGTCTTCAGGGGCTTGGAAAGGCAAGACATGCTAGACATCAATCAAACAGGGTAAGGCAGGCACTGCTGAAGTTTACTAAGTTGGTTCCTACAGATCCTATGCTGGGACTTTGGAGAACACAGTTTTGCACTTAGAAACCTGCACTTAGTTCTTGCTTTCAGCACCTGATAGGAACTAAATGATCTTTAAGGTTTCTTCAAACCCAAGCCATCCTGTGATTCCATACTAGGTTTTGCTGCTTGTCAGAGGATTCATTCAGTCTTCATGAATTTTAAAGCTCCATCAGAAAATGTTTTCAAGTAAGTCATGAGAGTCCAGATCAGCTGCAACTTCTTCCATCATCTCATTTGAAAACTGCAAGTGTAACATCTGAGCTCAAGTAATTTCAGATACCCTATTTCAGTGCCTGTGGGTCACTTTGGTCGGCTGGTTTGGATAGTCATCTGACTGCATGGTACCAGCAGACAGAGCCATGAAACTCCTCTAGGCACCATGCACTAGTCACGTGGTTACCATTCCTCATGAGGGAATATGGAGAGAAAAATCACAGCAACTACTGGAAAAAGCAGCAATTAATAATCAGAATTTCTGCTTACTCCTTCCAGATGCCAATGATGGGAGAACCAGGTCTCATTAAGCTGGCTGGGGATTGTGAAAGTCTGGGCTCTCTGCAGTGTGTCAGAGAGAAGTGAAAAAGCAGGAGTTGAGGGAATAGATTATTCAGAGGCATGTAGGCTTTGTATTTTGTTTAAATTAGGTTATTGATTCTCCTATTATTTTGCACAGGGAAGAAGCGTGGCTCAATGGCATTTTATTTGAAGCTGTAATAAGCAAAAGATTGTCCCATTTAAGAGAAGGAATCTGTCTTTTCTGCTCATTTCTAAACAAATGCTGTAAGGAGGCAAGCAAAGAGGTCACCTCCTCATGTTCCACATCTGGTAACATATCAAGTATGGACAGCTCCATGCTCCCAAACACAGCTCCATACACTGACACATTCAGGGCATCATTTCCAATGCACTGATCCTTCAGTCCCAGAAAGAGCTTTTGGACTTTCCTTGCTCCCCTTTCCCAGCAGACAAGCCAGTGCCCCCCACTGTTGTTGTAACCAGCCCTTGCTTGGAGAGACCTTGGTGCAGAGGCAAGGCTTAGAGGTGGTGAGGGATGCTGACTGCCTGGATGTGGGGTGTCCAAAAGAGATGGAGTTGATGCTGATACAGAGAAGAGATTCTCTGTACTTGAAGAAGGGAGTAAAGACCTTTCCACAAAGCTCTGGGAGGGACCCAGGCAGACTTGGTCAGCGAGCAGGATACAAGGAACCAAGCATAAGAAATGGGGGGCACATGGTTGTATGACTGTGCTGCAATTTTAATTTGTGAAATACCATTCCCACTCCAACCTACTGCACATTTCCACCTCCTTTATTTATCTTCGTCTGTGTGGGCTACTAAGTTTCAACTATGTCACTGTAAATGCAGTAGTCAGACAAGAAATTCTCTTTTGGGCTCTGCTTTAGGTGACCCTTGGCACTGATTTCTACCCTATCAGAAATCTTACAGAATTTAATGATGGTATGGGTTTTTTGTTGTTGTTGTTGTTACTAATATTAAATAATTTTCTCAAAATAATTTTAATACTATTCAATATCTTGTTCTCATTCAGTGTAAAATTATACGCAGCTTTCCATGTGCAGTGATGAGAACATGAATGCAGGTGGCTGACCTACAATCAGTTGAGCCATACACATTCAAAGCCCTGCACACCTCCACATTTCACACCTGCTTTTGACAGTGAAAAACTTCAGCATCTGAGTTACAGCTACCAGCAGCTAGATACAGCCACAGAAGCATTTCATACAAAAGCTATTTTCCCTTTATTTCTAGCCTGTATTTATGATGCCTCTGTTCCCACAGCTCTGGCCCCCAGGTATATCTCTCTTAATTTTCTTGTTTTCTTCCACATCATCATCCACCATCCCTCTCTGAGCTCTGAAGGCACTGGAAAGCATTATTTGTATCTGCAGCATATCTATTGTCTCCCCTGATCCATTTCCCACAAAAACCATTCTTCCACTTTGCCCTGTCTCAGTGCATCTTTTAGCTCTTCCTCTTCTTCTTTTGACATGAAGGTTATTTTATTTTATATTTTTTTACACTCAGCCTGTCGCATTTGAAGTTCTGTGCCTCCTGCAGTGTGCCAAACATCTGCACTATCTTCTTGTAGAGCCTTGAAAATTCATGCTGTTAGTTTAACCCTTCCCCCACAAATCTCATTTTGGAGCACCTTGTCCCTGCTGTCAGGTTGAAATGCTTTTTGGCAAGTCCTCTGCCAAGCGGGGTGAGGGCACAGCAGCTCTTCTTCCCACCCTTCCCCACATGCTGCTTCTTGCAGGTGAAGAGCAGTTCTTTCCCCATGTTCCCAACACCACACCTGCATCTGGGCCTGTAATAAATATATATATCTTGCACCAAGAAAACCCTAAGATATAGTACAGATCCACTTTTCTGATAGCAATAAAGCCATCCCTCTCAGCTCATGGGAACTTGTATACCCCAGCTCATTTAGGACACCATCCAGCAAGTTGGTATTGACAGGACCAAGAGTCTCCTGTGTGGACAAGATGGCTTCGGGCTCCACTGACTATTACATCCAGTATATTGACTTACCTACTTTGATACAGAATGCTGCTCTACATTAAATATTCCAGCAAAACATAGCAGATTAGGAGCATTAGAATTAACTTTTACAGGACAGCCCATCCTTGTGCCTTTAGATCAGTGGAAGCTTTCTTGATGATCTCTTGGAATCAACATTTCCCACTAAACTGGCTGACAGTAATAACAACACAAACCAACCAAAAAATCCAAGGAAAACATTGTTCCCAATGTGCTGCTTGCTTGAGATTATTGAATATAGGTCATTGACTTGTAGGAGCCAGTGCTTTAGACTTTGATTGTCTAGAAATGTATAGTAAGTGACAACAGCAAATTCTAATTTGCACCACTGTTTGTGTGCCGCTGGTAATGTCCCAGTCCATTACCATTAGGCCTTGTGACATCTGTCCTTGCCTTGTGTGACTGCCCAGCTCTCACATGTAGGTCAGGACCATGCCAACCCTTGAACAATAGCCTCTTTTCCTGTTTAAATTACAGTTTCTTTCTCTGATAATGTCTCCATTCCATCTTGCTGTTCCAGAGTTTAAAATGCAATGAGATAATGCCAGCAGACCACATTTTGCTTTGTTACAGGATGTGAATGCACAGGTATGCTATTTTCTGCAATAGATTAATGTCCCATTGTTACTACATTCAGAACTGAACCTGATGGGCAGCCTCTGTGGAGGCAATAGCTCAATGAGAGCCACTCTCTAAGTGCTCCAAAATGGGACTCTTTCTTTTTTTTTCAAGAGAAGACACATAAAGTGTGTCAATTAAATTAAAACAAGGTAAAATAGATGCAGCAGTCTACCTAGTTAAGCAGAACCTGAAATCTTAAAGAGAAATTTATATTTTCTTCTGATGGATATTTACAAACTTATTTTCAGACATCACAGTATCATAAAATCATTTCAGTTGGAAGGGACCCTTAAAGGTCATGCTGTCCAACTCCCCTTCAATGAACAGGGACATCTGAAGTCCTGAAATCTTGTTGAGTGCTGAAATTGCTGTAAGTTCTGTAGTGCCTTCTGTCCCTTGTACTAATTATTGAGGTCGACAGCTTTCAGGATGCAAATTTAACCCATGCATTTTTACCCCATTCTGCTTACCTGCTTAAGGATTTCTGCTGCAGTTTCATGTGAGCAATCAAATATCACGTAGAACTCCTTGCCTTTCTTCATCTCCTTGAGTAAAGGCCGGGCATCTTTATTCCCAGAGGGCAATTGGCGGATTTTGATTTTAATGTTGTATCTAGAAGGGGCTTTGATGAGCTCTTGCAGACGAATTAGACCTGAAAAATGATACACAATTCTACAATCTTTTCTGTGCAATGAGTATTTATTGTCACTTGGAAAGTGTCTTTTATCAGTTTTAACATTTCATGTTTCTAAGCTGCTATCTTCGTATTTGCTAACCTCTTGATTGATACAGCTTTTCCTTTTAACGATTATACTTTGCTTCAGCGCCTGAATAATCTGAAATATGTTTTGAATTTGTTGACTGTAGTATATGTTTGCATTGATGCAATACTGATACTGTGTATTGCAAAAAAAGCAGTAGCTGGCAGCAATTAGTATCTCAGTATTAAAGAACAAGAGCATAGGTTTAAGAAAATCCCCTTACTAACTTTCCTACCTGATAGTAAGCATATGTAGATGAGGAAAAATGGTGGAAGGAAACCATTAAATATCCAGCATCTCCACTGCTGCTCACTTAGAAGCAATGGTTGGCTTGAGTGGCACTTAGTAATGATTATTCTTAATAGACACCCATATGTCTTTCATTGTCCTCATTTCAGCATATATTGCAATACCCCAGAGAGGGGAACTTTAATTTTTTTTATCATCAATTTAGAGACAAAAAGCTCAAGGGCATAGTAAAATTAAATGACTTACTTAAGTTCACTCAGCAATTCTGAGATCTTAGAAAGTATTGAAATATTTTGAGATCCAGTTCTATATCTGTAAACACAAGAACACGATTCCTAGTGCTGTTCTTCAGCTGATACAAATCTACAGGGCTTATTTGAAGTCAGTGAAGCTTAACCAGTTGAAGATTTGCCCAAGTATTTAAACACAGTGCAATTCTACTAGCTAATTCAGCACTCCTATGTAATTTGTATTGCCTCCAAAAACAAAGTAAGATAGTTAAGAGTTCTTTGAGGTGTGTGATTACAGTCTCCTTCTCATTACCCATGAACTTAATTTTCCAACAAAAAAACTTGTGATCTCCTGCTGTGTGAAAGTAAAAGGCTGTCTTAACAATATGCAGAGAGGGGGAAACAATATGAGCAAGGAGCACTTCTTAAATAAAAATCAAACAAATGATGGATGTGAAAAAACTCATTGGTCTCCTGCTGGGAGTTATATATTTGTCTTGTGCATCAATATCCTTGGTTCATTGATCCAATGGCACATAGAAGGCAAAACAAAACATCCCGATTTCTTCTGATGTTAGCAAGTTGCTACATATTGCTATGTTGGCTGTTGGCTTCCATTTCTGGCTTTCACTCAATTTTCTGGCAATGTTTTTTTGAAAAAATAATCTTTCCTTCTGCCTGCAATGCTGGGTTTGTTCTTTCAGGTCTTCGAGTATCAACAATCAATACAGAATATTAAGTATTATGAGTATTCAAATGTAAATTACTGCACACATTTTGAGATTAGAATCTGGCTGGAAGCCAACCTGTGTAAATATGAAACAATTTGAACTCATTATTATGGGGATGGAGTGCATCCTTCCAACACTGACTATCAAGTAGGAGTTTATGTAATCTGTCTGTAAAGCTATAACTTGGTTGTATAATACATTCAAGTATTCAACTGTTGACTCAGCCACTATATCGAATGGTGATTCTAACAGGGTAGAATTAGTTTTGGGATAAGGGGAGTCCAGCATGTAAGGAATCTCTGCACCCTCAGACTTAACATTGTTATATATCTTTTCAGAATCAGAAACTTAACTCCCAGCACAGTTGAATTACAAGGGCAGAAGATATTAAACCACCTGCTTCAGCCACACAGGACTTGTGCTTCTCATCAATCAATCATCAGTGTTCTCCTCTTCCGCTTCCTCCTGCTCAACAAATGCAAACCCTTGGACATTATGCTACTGATATTTTATTTTGAACATATCTTGAATGCTAAGTACATATCTGACTTCCAGGAAAAGTCAGTTTGGGAAAGCACAGTTCCTACAGCAGTCATTTTCCTCTTGCTTATTGAGACCAACCACTCAATCTACAATAGTCAGGAGGCCTCAATGACTCCCTCTGAGGTCTGAAAAAGGAAGTAGCAGCTAGTATGGCAAGGAGTCATCAGTAACATTATCCCAAGCATTTGTTCACTCTCTACAAAGTAAATGATGTTGCTTAAACAGTTTTGAAGGTCTGCACTAGAGCAGGATCTTCAGTACAGAAAATGTTGTAGAGTATAGCCAGGTGAAGCTGTGGTAGCTGAGTGCGAACTTCAAAGAGGACGAAGAGAGTCCTATTGAGAAAAAGGGCACAATTTGGGTCATCAAACCAAAGCTGTAGGGATGGCAACCAGACCTTTAGCACTAATTTTCTTGGCCTATTGTCTCTATTCTCTTATTCAGACTTTGGAACTCTTTTTCCTTTTCTTTTAGAAACGGTGTTGGGAACTGTATTTAACATTGCTGGATTCAGTATTTTTCCAACTTGTCTTTTAAATTGAATTGAATTGAGTTTAAGTTGAATTGAACATGAGAAATGGTCTTTTCTGACACAAGCAAAATGTTTAAACATGTGAAAGTCTTTGAATATTTCATTTCATTTCACAATGTCTAAAACTGCAGTAAGTTGTGTGTGATATACTTAGGAATTCAAACATGCCTAACATGAATGCAGTGCTCCAGCAGACAAATAATTATGCACACTGGTGGTAATAATCATACACTACTGGTGGTACTATGAGAGTAGAAAGTGTGCACTTCCCAATTTCCCCTTTCTTTTTTTAATAATACATTTCTGCAGTTTATTAGGTAGTTTTACTGCAGTGAGAGAAAATGTTTTTATTAGAAAACCATTAGGATTAGCCAGGTTTGAGCTTTTCTTTGAATGATGCAAGTTCAAAGAAAGCAAATTTTGCAAAAATTAAAATTTTGCTCTATGCAATCAGATTGAAATGATATGACAAAAAGTTTTGGCTCCTGAGAATCTTAGAAAGCTAGGAGAGCTGGCTATCAAATAGAAAAAGTCAGGCATTCTTACAGAAGATGAAGTATTTGATGTGGTTGCCCTTCTCAATCTGATAGGTAGGTTCTGATAGGTTAAAATCACAGGATTCAGGGAAGATGGAATAGGTAAGAGGCAGAGCCAAACCTGCACTGAAGGCAGTATCATTGCTGTTGTTGTTTGTTTGTTTGAGTTTTGACAACTGAAATAGAGTCATGTGTCTGTTACAGATCAATGTGCAAAATACCAATACGCAAAACTGGGATACTGGAATGGATCTATTACAAACAAAATAAACCACAGAAAAAGATGCCAGCCCCGGCATGTATAACGATAAACCATAATTTATGGTGCCCAAGATTGGGATGTGCAGTGCTTGATGTACAATGCACTCTTTGCAAAGTTTTGTTAGACTGTTTTAAAACTCCCAGAGAAAATTCTTTGCCTTACACAGGCAAGGCATTGTACTTGATCTAAATTAACACTTTTAAATTAATTAATACAGAATTAAGGCCGATTAGAGCCTGGGTACTCCAGTAATAAATTGAGTTATGCATAATATGTAAAAAAGGAGGTCAGTCTCAATTAAAAAAAAAAAAAAACAACAATATTTGCGTAGGAGTTTTATTTTCCCTTAGTATTAGAAAACTATAGGCAATAAGGAGTAAATTGTGAACTTTAAAGGGAGAAAGTATGAGATCTTTATCCTATGCTCAGAAGCTATTACTTTGCTATCTAGAAAAATAATTTTGGCTGAAAGTGCAATACTTTGACTGAAAGTCCATCTTTCAATGGCATAGAAAGGACAGCAGTTAGAAATAAATATCAGCTATAGTGTATTTTATTATTCTACTTACACTGATGGCTGAGAGACAAGAGGGTAAAAATCTGATTGATTCAAGGCAGAAAAAATGAAGGAATTTTTCTAATATGATTTTGGAATAAAATACAAGCTCTAAAGTACCGTAGGTCCCTTTGTAAGAGACAGTAAAGTTGTTTAGCATGGTATGTAGAAGACAAAAGTTGCTAACATTTCTGTGTTTGATAAGAAGCAGGATGAGTAAGTGCTTCCTATTCCAAACACAATTTTTAGCACTGTTGATTGCAGATTTTCTAGATTCGTTTATATGAAATTTGCTTATCATTGAAAGTCCTGTAGAGTTTGCCAAGTAGATTACTAACACACAACCATTTATTTAAGAAATGTTGAAACTTTGAATAAATTACAGAAAGCCAGAAATATGTCAATATTAAAAAGTGTGTTTGAGATGATATGTAATAATTTACCCTTAAGTGTCAGCAGTGGACAAATTAGGAACAAATCTGATATGGTTACAAAATGCTGAAGAACAAAATGTTGGGTCTACAGTAAAAGACGCTACCAAGGAAAGATAGCCCAGTATCACACTAAATTTCTTTGTTTGGTGTGATGAATTCTATTGATATAGGCAGCTTCCTAGACGTATAGCATTTGCCCCCTACTGGGAGGTGCCCATCTTCATATATCAACCTGCTCATAAAAAATTTAGAACTGTAAGATATTGTAAGGTATTCATTTGCCCGATCACAAAAAGTAGATGTCAATGAAGAAGATTTATTAAACAATAAAGATCCGTGAAGGCTAGTAGTAGGTTTTTCAGAAATTTGTCGTGCTCTTGTCTTTGTATTCATTCTAAAATCAGCACCTGGAAAAAAGTTATGTCTGAAAAACTGTTGGATTGCAAAAACTGGCAGGATGTTAAATACTGTTTGAGATAAGGAGGGTAAGCATAAGTGATTCAGATCATTAGGAAGCATGAGTTCACTGAGATGAACTGATTTTTTATCACTGCCCAAACCTGCATTTCTCTTGGTGGAAGTGTGCATGTGGTGATGAAAGGCGTAATTACAGGAGACAGGGGGAAACCCCAGCTTGGCAGACAGGCATGGTATGTGGCCTCTGTGCCAGAGGTGGTCACGATGGCATGTGGGCTTAGATCAGTACTGCAGTGTGAAGGATGAAAGCAGGGTTTTCAGTCTTCAAAGTAAACCCTTAAACTGGAAGCAGGGCTGATCTGCAACCTCCGAAACAACCTGAGTATGCATCATGGGAAGTTCAGTGTTACAGCCATTAATTCATGGTTTAATTAGGAAAGAAGCTGCTTTTCACATACAATTTGTCTCAAAGAAAAAAAAAATCTTTGGATTTTTTCCTACTTGTAGTATAAAAATGACAAACATGAGAGATGAGAACTAAAAAAAGCTCTAGTTAAACGGTGTCAATTTAAACTCAAACCAAAGAATATTTACATTGATCAAAGTTGACCTCTTTTCTTCCCTGACTTCATGTTAACAAGATGATTGATGATTAATTTACTTTGGAAATATCCCTGCAGATGAAGTCTCTTTCATATCAATCAATTTTTATAACTGAATATGAATACTTGGTGTTTTGGAATGCTAATTTGCTATTGGGGTAGGCTGAAAAAGATCTCTATTTGTTTACCTATTGGTATATTTTTGCATATACTACTAGGAGCCCAAGAGAAATTTTGCTGATCTAGACCATCTTAGTATAAATGCAAGAAGTCTGCTGTGGTAAACACAGCTTGACTTGCTCCTTCTTTTCTACCTCCAGCATTCTGGTATATTTTGAGTCTATGGTGAGCAGAATAGAATACTGGCATTGAAATCTACCTCTGGTATCCAGCAGGAGATGTGCTTCTTATGTCCTGTCAAATGTATACAAATAAATATATCTTTTCTAGTGTTAAAATTATTGTGTTTTCTGTTTGTTGTTTTCTGTTTGTTTGTTTTTTAGCGGAGTTCTGTTTTTTGGACATGTTTTTGCAATTTGACTTTAACATAGATTTGTTTGGCTTGGTTTTATTTTGTATACTCCCCTTAAAGCCTTATGTAGATGCTTTCGCAGCTCAGCCAACATTGTTTTATGCCAATACTGAAGAACCAACTTGGATGTCCATAGAGCTCTAAAAGGGCAATATTTATGTGGGCAAGGGGAAGAGAAAGGGAAATGCAAGTCTAAGAGCAGGGCTGACTGTGAAATGCTTACTTTGCATCAATGACTGCTAATGCATTACAGAATTTACCAAATGCATTATGATTTTCTACATCTACTACATCTTTACTGTAAAAAGATGGTGTTGAAGGATAGGAGTGAGAATAACTGGTATGCTCTAGCCACCCCACTGTAAAATGCTGCTGGAAGTAAAAGATCTACCAACAGCTAAGGTCATGTTGCAACACAATCCACAGTTGGTTTCACCTAATTTATGTCTTCAGCACTCCAGTCTCACTAGGGGTCTCACTTCCAAATGGGTCACTTCACACAAGTCAGAAGAGGGAAATTTAATAGGGAGTTCATTGAAAAAGAGGATTTTCTATTGACCAATAAAGACCAATCAAAAAAATGTTGGGCATTGTAGATAGAGCAGAGCTTTGGTCTGTGCCTTTTCAGTGTTTCTATCGGGCTAAGATAGGCAGTCCTGCTTGTGGTGCACCCATTAGTCACTGGCTGGCCTTTGTCTGGACTGTCCTGAGTCCTGTCCAGCATTCCTCATTCCACAAGAAGCTGAATGTCCTTGTGTAGTCAGCAAACTCACAGTGGAGTTTGTGGTTCCTTCCTGCAATTATGATTTCAGGGCTGTATCACTTCAGCCACCCATATGAAGTTCAGTTTTACCCATTGCTTAGACTGCAAAGAAGCTAGCTCAAGGATTACTCCATTGGCTCTATTTTCTTCATCTCAACAGACATGATATTCCCAAGAAAACCTTTTCTGCTGCTTAGAAAGTGCCCTGAAGTGTAACTTAGTACCCTGCATAGTATTTTCCACATTTTAATGGGAGAACTATAGACCTCTCTGAGCCTTTAATGGTTTGCTTACTTGTAAACTTCTTCTTGTGAACTCCAATTATGGACAATCTGTGACAGAGTATTCACTGCAGGAGAGATCATACTCTCTGCAATCATGCATGCAATGAATTTTGGTGTATTATCTTGCTGGATAGGACTTCTGAGAAAACTTTGGAATGCAACTATGTCAATGATCAGAAGAGCTAGTGGATTTTTCAGAAACAAAGTCTCATTCTCATTCCAGCAGAAAATGGCACTGCTTGCTATACTTTGGCTATTAGTACAACAAGTGGTATCAGCTACAGGAATAGTAAAGCCTAGATAATTGAAGATATACAAAGGTGGCTTGGACTGCTTATAACATTGGTGCTCTTGCTCAATGTCTGAGTATTAAAAAAATCAAAGTCATAGTCTCTGATAAAGTTTGAAATCACTTCTTCCCAGAAATGAGTTTGTTATTCTCTTCTTATTATCGTTATCTTCTTATTATTCGTTTGTTTGCTATATGAATGAAAGGGATGTCTAACTGATATTCTTTGTCCATGGTATTTTGTTGGACAGCTGTAACTACTACTTTTCCACAGAGGAGGTTCTTGTGATAAAGAAGGAATGATCTTATTTGAGTTAAGAGTTCCAAGCTGACAACATTTACACAAATTTTAACTTTCAGATTCAGCGTTTGGTACCCAGCTGGATTGGATTTGCTGAGACAGTTCCAAAGAAAAAGATAATCTCTATGTTAAAAATGCTGTAGTTTAAACTTTTACTTTCTAAATGCATTCTTTTTAAGACCCTCAGTGGAAATTCCTAATCAGCCCCACCCTAGACTATTTATCAGTTTGAAGCTGATATTGGTTCCACAAATAAGAAACAAAAGGTGACGTATTACCAAGAATTCTGGTGCTACCTCCTGGTGACTTCTTAAGTTTGGATGAAATGAACAGCTTTCCGGAAGCCATAAGCACAGAAGCCTAACTGCTCCTTAAGAGATCTTTTTCTTTTGTATTTGCTGCAAGTACTCCAAACTGAGCTATCACAGGCACTTCTGTCACAGAATTTATGTACATTCATTAGCTGAAGCATTTGTCTTGTAGTGCACCAGGGCTACTTACCTGTGCTGTCTTCATATACTACTGTCACTATTTTCCAGTTGTAGTATAGTACAAGATCCAAAACTGCTCTGCTGATGGCTGCATAGTCTGGGTAGAGGTTGATATAAAATGCATCCTTGTGATCAACCGTAGGGTGTTTCCATCGGGTCTGAATATGTGGGACTTCAAGTGCATTGCAAATGGACTGCACAGCGCTGACTGAGGAGCTGTGGGATGGTCCAAACAGAGCAGCTACACCAAGAGCAAGTTGATCACATGCTGCAGGGAGAGAAAGAAGCTGTTAGTCAGCAAAAGCAGGTAACTTGTGTAGCATTTACTGAGACCATTTATTCTCCATCCATGTCCATCATTTCAAAGTGACAATGAGTAAACTTGTTATTCCAAACCTACTTGTAAATAGTTCCTGAAATTGGCTTTGCTGATTAGCATTATATCCTAGAACAAGCTCGCTACATATAAAAACCAAAACAGCTTAGCTCACCATTGACTTCAGAACACACTGATTCCCATTTTCTCAGAATGGCATTTTCCTGGAGAAACCAGGAGCTTCTCATTATTGGCTTGCCAAAGGGATGTTGCATGAATTAAGTTTCATGGCAGTATGTCAGGGAATGTTGTGATTCATAGAACGCTATTACAGATTCCCACCATGACTGGCAAGCTACTACCTATGCGAGTAGCTTTAATTTCAAGCTAATGAAGTAATATAAACAGCAAAGGGCATTATGATTTATGGCACTCCATAATCGGTGTTTACAGAAGAAGCAATAAAGCCTAAAGGCATGAGTTATGACATGGAGAAATAAAGAGCCAACGTCACTGACATTTTAATATCTTTCCAAATCAGTCAAATGCTATTATCAACAAAGACTTCTTTCTTTCTCCTTATGTCTATATCCAATGCAATTAATGTTTCCAGCAAGAGAATCTCTCATGTAGGTGTATTTTCATTCCTTTTCCTCTCCCATGTGTTTTCAGGCTAACTGACATGAGATGAAGGAATATTAACTACTTTTGTCCATTTTTATAATTTACTGCAAATGTTTCTCATGAGGTCTGTATGGACTGGGGCAAAGCCTTGCACTGAGCTGTTGTGTTGCTCTCTTTGTAAGGTAGCTCTTTGTTAAAAGTCTGGAAATTTCTGCTATTGGATTAAGTACTAAATATCTGAACACCCATGACGAGCAGAGGTTTTTAAAAATAATATTTAGTTATCTAATAATAGTAAAATAGAACAGAAAATCAATTATTTTCTGTTTTCATCCTACAAATGGATGTCTCACAGATGACATAAAATGCACAGGCTTTCAAAGTTTAATTCAGAAGCTTTCTGAAAAGATAACGAGTTTTAATGTGAAAATTAATAAATAATTAAATAAATAATATCAATAATTCATACCAAGAAGAAATTGCTATTGTTTGCATGGATTCCTTGTGTTTATAGACTTTCAAAAATATTTGTAATGAGCCCCTTCCTACAGACTAAATGGATAAGGTACTGAGGTATTTTCACAATAGTTCACAGAAGATGTTCCCACTATACAGAGAATCTAAAATCTTCTCTGGCTGGATTATATGGGTTACAAATGCAGCATATTTCATTTTTGACAGCATATAGTATCAACATATTTGATATTTGAAAATACGCATGATTTAAAGCTATTTTTGATGTTTTGCTTTTTTTTCCTCCATCTTCAATCTTGCTTAGGAAACTAGAGTACCATGAGGAGAATTTAGTACCTTAGACGTTTGAAAGGCAGCTTTCTTACGTGATTTGTTTATTTTCTAGTACTCATTTGCTTTATAGCAAACATATCTTTTAACTTACTGCAAGCACATTTTGTAACATTCACAGAAACAGATGCTATAATGAACTGCAAAGCACATGTGCAAAGTCTTGGCAACTTATGGGTCTTTTCCTGGACTTGCTTGCTTGAGATTGCATGCACACCATGTAGTTCCAGGAACTAGGCTCCTGAATATATTTTAGCAAACTTCAAGATTGCCTCCTAGAGGTGAAGAAATACACTGTGCTTAAGGAAAGTTACGGTATTTTTCCCTCTTTCTGTTTTACTCTGCAAGTAAATTAGACACAAATAATTAGGCCATAATTTTCCCCCTGGGAACAATAAAAGAATAAGCAAAAAATTCAGAGCTTGTCCAATCCTTGTCGTACAGTTGTTTGTAACAGAAGAATTGCACTCATATCTCTAACCCACTGAAGTGTTAATATTTCAGGACTCAGAGAGTACTGGCCTCTGCTCTTTAAAGTAGAAATCATTTGTTATGAATAATGGATATCTGTGTGCATGTGCTAATTATGGGTTGTGACATCCCACTGAGCTCCTTGTTAGGTAGTGATCATTTTCTGCAGAATTCCAGGTGGCAAATCTGTTTTTTGGAAAGAAAAACTGGTTAGTCCTGCCACCTTCCATCTGGGGCTCTTAGCATGCAGACAGGATGTAGGTGTTTCATCAGAAACTAGATGACAAGTTCAACTCCAGCTTGATTCTTAGTTCAAATAACTTCGAAATATAAAATTTTATGTTAACATTTGTATACACGTATTACAACTGGAGGAGAAGAAGAGATCAGGGTGTGGAAACATGGTATGGAACAGAGATACATTACTGACACAGTAATTGAGATAATTACCTCTTCTCGAGGCTTCAAAACTATCAAAAAGGTTAATTCTCTGGATGTCATAGGTTAATGTTGTATTAGGCATCAGTGTTCTGTTTCTATTAATGTTGGTGACTGCAAACTTGAAAGCCAATTCTTCAATATTAACAGGCTCATTTTCCACAGTTTCAAAGATCCCTCCTGTTGATAGAGATAAAGGAGAAGTATTATTCACCTCTTCATCACTGTACATAAAAGAGAAAAATAAATTATGAGCAAAAATAGATTGTATTCATGAAGGAAAACAATTAAAATCACAGTTAAAAGCACTAAAGCAAAAGCACATTGGATCGTTAGCTTTTATCTACAATGTCACCGTAGGTTAGCTTGATATTATGAATGTTGGTTAGACAAACATCTGTGAAAGATAATGCGTGCTTATCATTCAGGTTTCCTAAAGTAAAATGCTTAGACATTTGTTAAGACTTCTGTTGAGTTCCCAACTAAAAACGTAGTGGTATTCATTGTTTTTGTTTACTCTGCTTATTCTTATCTATGTTTATAGATGCAACTCAGGTATGTTGGAGATGTTTTCTGAAGTGCACACATCCTGTCAGTACAAGTTCCATGTTTGGCAGTAGCAGCTCGAGGAGAAATTGACTGGAAATTTGCCTTAGAAGGGCTTGTTTTGTTGTTGTTACTTACAGTTTGGGCATCACTGTTTGCCACCGGTGAATCACAGAATTACAGAATGGCCATGGTTGGAAGGGACCTCAAGGATCATGAATCTCCAAGCCCCCTGCCACACACAAGGCCACCAAACTCCTCATTTAATGCTAGACCAGGCTGCCCAGAGCCCCATCCAATCTGGCCTTGAACACCTCCAGGGACGGGGCATCCATCCTCTCTGGGCAGCCTGTTCCAGTACCTCACCACTCTCTCTGTATAGAATTTCCCCCTGATGTCCAACCTCAATCTCCCCTCCGTCAACTGAAAACCATTTCCCCTCGTCCTGCTGCTATCTACCCCTTCAAAGAGTTGATTTCCCTCCTGTTTGTAGGCTCCCTTTAGGTACTGAAATGCTGCAGTAAGGTCACCCCGCAGAATACTAGAGCAGAGTAGAGGGGAACAATCACCTCCCTGTCCCTCCTGTCCACCCCTCTTCTGATGGAGCCCAGGATAGCATTTGCCTTCCAAGCTGCAAGGGCACACTGCTGGCTCATATTAAGTTTTTCATCTATCAAGACCCCCAAGTCCTTCTCCATGTTTAGCAGTAAACAGGGCTGCTCTCAAGGACCGCTCCTTCCAGTCTGTATGGATGCCTGGGATTCCTCTGGCCCAAGTGCAGAACTCTGCACTTTGCCATGTTGAACCTCATCAGGTTCACCCGGGCCCACCTTTCTAGCCTCTCGAGGTCCCTCTGAATGGCATCCCTTCCTTCCACCGTGTCAACCGCACCACTCAGCTTGGTGTCGTCAGCAAACTTGCTGAGGGTGCACTCGATTCCATCATCGATCACTGATAAAGATGTTAAACAGCACCAGGCCCAAGACAGACCCCTGGGGGATGCCACTCGTTACCGGCCTCCACCTGGACATAGAGCCATTGATGACCACCCTCTGTCTGCGGCCTTTCAACCAGTTTCTTATCCATTGAGTGGTGAACGGCTTTGCTTATTCAAAGATCATTAATGTATAACCTGAATTTGTTATAAAACATAACTGAGCCACACTGATCCCACAAAAGATTCTAACTGTGTGCCAAAGTGGCAAGTGATGCCTCCAGGGATGTAATGTCTACCATTACTAACATGGAACTGATTTAGAAGTCCCCTTGCAAGGACAGTGCTACATCTATCACAATTGCTTTCATCTTCCTCTAGACTCCTAACATCTGCTTCAAAGTATTTGAACAATAAGGTTGTCCCAACCCATTCTGTGCAATTTTAGTCAAGCAACTGATCTTTGAGCTCTGTTCAATTTGCCAGAACTTATTTTTTATCTTTCAAACTGAAATTGTATGTACTTCTTGATCCTTGATAAAACAAATGATGTGAACCAGAACTTTTCTTTAACATGGAAAGTAATGAACCAATTTAAATTTTAATGTTGGAAGCATTATCAATTGTTTTCTCATATTTTCTGAGATCAGGACGGTAGCTATGTTTCAAGTAAATAGGCTGTCCCACTTATACTGGGATGTCTATTCCCTCTAGCCTCTGGAGATTATATAATGCCAACAACACATTCAGACTGTCTGGGAGTATTGGGATTTGATGAATGCGTAACAAACACAGCTAATTTGAAAAAAATAGCTCCTTTAAACAGCAATTTCCAGCTTCAGTACTTGATTTTGCAAGTATAATTTACTAATTTAGTGCGAGTCACTAGAGAATACTTTGGATTTCTCTGTTTCATATTTTCACATTTCCCCATGTGAAATTTGAGCTTTAGACATCGCTTAATATTTCCTGAGCATCAGAATGTATTCAGCTAATGCAATTTTGACGTCACCAATGTAGGAGTAGTGCAGTCATTAGCTGACAATCAGGAAAAGGAAACAAAGCAGAATTAAAACCTGTTTTGAATTTTATCTCAGCAACGAAAATACTGGAGGCTATCAAATCCAAGTTATAATTTCTAGTCACTCTCAAATACACAACATCTCTCAACATCTCACAAAACCATGTATAACAATACCTTAACACAACTTTAGAAATTTTGTCCATTTAAGCAAAGTTTTCATCTACTATATGTATTTCTTGCATTTTAGGTATGCAGTTCTTTCAGAGCCTATAATTCCTCATTACAATAATAACGATACCAAGTTTACCTCTTTTCTGGTTCACTAAAATTTACTTTTCCATCTTTCATCTAAGGAACATCTTGAGACAGCAGTGTACAATAGTTATGTTTTGCTTGGACCTGCACTAGAATTAGCAGAACATTATTTCATATGGCAAGGTGGGAAACAATTATTATTATCAATAGCCAAAGATAACATCCTATTCAGAGTATTGTTAGCAAAAAATCTTCTCCATCATGGAAATTACTATTGTGCTGTGATTGTTCTAGTTACTTGTTTCTTTTTTTATTTAACTTAAAAATAACATCTTTCAACCATCCTGCAGTAATCTTTGTGTCCTATATATACCACAAACACAAGAACTTTTTCATTTCAGGATGAGGACTTCTTCCAGACCTGTAATCAGTTGCCTATTAAATTGAGATTAATTTTAATTAATGTATATTCAGGAACTATTTATAATTCATTAGTAAATTTTTACAGAATTTTTGCTTGTTTCCCTTAAAAGAAGACTAAGGATTCACTGGGCAGCGGGGAGGAGTGGAGGGAAATGAGGAGTGATGGAAAGAGTGAAGGTTTTGCTAAGCAAACAAATCAAAACTGCATATATAACACCACATAAACTTCAAATAGAGTCAGATATATTTCTCTGAAAGTCAGATGTACAGTCAATATGTTGGTACATGTTTGACATATTTTCAGGTGTTCTTTTAGACATGTTAACATAGCTGTAATGCACTGATAGAGAACTTTAGTTAAATGCTTTAATTTGCTGGTGAGATTCTCTGGATAGATCTGCATAAGAATAGGACGGATAGTCATAATTATATGCATGAATTATACTTCATAGAATCATAGAATTATAGCATGGTTTGGATTGGAAGGAACCTCAAGGATCACCTTATTCCCATCCCCCTGCCATGGGCAGGAACATCTTCCACCGGGTCAGGTTGCTCAAAGCCCCATCCAACCTGGCTTTGAATGTTTCCAGGGAGGGGCAATCACAACTTCTCTGGACAATCTGTGCCAGTGTGTCACCATGTTCCAGATGAAAAGTTTCTTCCTAATATCTAATCTTAATCTATTCATTTTTAGTTTAAAGCCATTACTCCTTGTCCAATTGCTACACTTCCAGATAAAAAAAGTAGCTCCCCACTTTTCCTGTGGGCTCCCTTTAGGTACTTGAAGGCCCCAGTAAGGTCTCCCCAAAGCTTTTTCTTCTCCAGGCTGAACAGCCCCAACACTCTCAACGTTTTTTCACAGGAGAGGTGCTCCAATCTTATCTTCGTGGCCTCCTCCAGACCCACTCCAACTGCTCCACATCATTCTTGTGTTGAGGGCCACAGACCTGGACACAGCACTCCAGAGGGGCCTCACGAGGGCAGAGCAGAGAGGGGCAATCCCCTCCATGTCCCTTTTGGCCACTCCTGTTGTGATGCAGCCCAGGACACAGTTGACCTGTGCTGTGAGCACACACTAGAGGATCCTGTTGAGTCCCTCATCAACCAGCACCCCAAGACCTTATCCACAGGGTTCTCCTTCAGCCATTCTCCTAAACCGGAACTGTTAAACACAATGCCATTCAGTGTCTCTGAAAGCTACTGCTTCCTTGCCCCCACCACTCAGAGGGTGGTCTCCTACATATGGAGACCACTGACATCACTATTCCAAGCCAGTAAATGTTTACTTGGCTGTCTATTCTCCTGATAACACTCTGAAGGAAGCACTAAAAGGAGTACCCTGCTGCCCATAAACAAACTCCATGATATAGTTAATGAAGGAAATCATTGTCTGCTGGGAGTGAAGTTTGAGAAAAGCCAGAACTGCCACCTATTTGATCTTGATTTTTTCTGTTGGGACCTATGTGTGTAAAAAGAGCCAAATCAGCCTATAAATTTACATCACAAACAAAGCAGCAGATACGGTCATAGAATCATAGAATCATTTGAGTTGGAAGGGACCTCAAAGGTTATCTAGTCCAACTCCCTGCAATGAAGAGGGTCGTGTTTTCATCTGTGTATTCTTAATGAAATCTAGCCATTTATTAAATCATTTCACTTCTCTCATGTTCTGTTGATGGCTTGACATCAAGCTTAGAATTTATTGTAAAGTTCCGGTTAAAAGAGAAAGAGCAGATTAACTGACAAGTTTGATAAAGAGCCTGTTCGTCAGATTATTCATTTAAATAAACAACATTTTAAAAACAAATTAGCCAAAGGATTGCACAAGGGAAAGAAAAAAAATCAATGTTAACTCAAGATGCAAATGATGCTGAAGAAATGAGGCTGTTTCTTCTAAGCTCAAAAACAAGCACTGCCATCCAAGGTAGGCTGTTGGTAGCATTTACTAGGGACAAAGTCCTCCCCTTCATCTTCCTCCCTTCCATCCCAATTGTTCTTTGAAACAGTATGTACTCTCATGCGTCATAGGCTAACCAAAG